ATACTCGATAAGTTTGTACCAAGCATCAGTAATATCACTTCATAGTACGGAATATATACTATTGAAAATTTGCCACCACAAGGAAAGCAAACAGATGACATAGACATAGACTTCTCAATTGTGTTTACAGAATATATCAGAAGTATTCATCATCAAATTTCACATAGAGCAAACTCGGTTTTTACAAACGATAATTTCTCTATCATTTATAGTTATTTTTCAATACTGGAACCAAACGAACCGCTAAATTTATCATCACCACAAACATCTCGATATGCAACAGTAAGGCAAGAAATCAATCTTTTCTCGCAGTTCCTAGATATAATTCATGAAACACTCACCGATAATGAAATCTCACTAATAGTAAAAACTGATCTACAAAGAAACCTAGCATGGTTCAGAATAGACTAATTTGTAGACAATTTAGAGATTTTATATCAATGGCAAGAAACTTCAGACGATGAAACTATAGTAGCAGACGAAACAAATTATGTATGGGACACTAAATAGTCTCAACTATTATTTGTCAATATCACTAACGACATTTCAAGTGCGGCAATCGCTACTGTCTCTGTGCACATAGACTTTTGAGAGTTATTCCGCTCACCATTGATTCAACACCTTGAAATTAGAATACAAAAAATAACGATGGGGCAGATAATAATAGTTTAATTTCAATACTTATAAATACACAAGAAACTTTTAATGGAACTAGAAATCTGGCATAAAAAGATATCCAAACCCCATCACGCTTTGTGAACGAAGAAGTAGCTGAACAAACAACTACGACCATCACACAATTCACAATAAATCACATTATTCTGAAGATGAAGATTTTTAAAATCAAAATCAACAACAACACAACGATATCGCACGAAAAATATAAATCGAGTCAAATTGATCCCCCAGATAATACTTATCAACCAGATACTTTTGAACCCTACATGAACTCAGACAAACACGACACAAACAACAACCTTTTCCTCAACGACAAAATTCGGCACCATCAAATAAAAATTTACAATCACAAGACCCTATGAATACTCAAAAATCCCAACCTAATTTAAAAAAATGAAATTCTTTTACCACACAAATTACAGCAACACGAAATTACAAAACCCAACTTACAAGTATAACACAAATACTAAATGCAGCAGAATCACTTCAAATGACAAGGAATCCATAGCTTATAGGTGGATTTTCCATTACATCTAATAAGCCACCCGTGGCATTCACAGGAACAGACCCTGAATGCTCAGCAGAAGACAACCTAAATGCAGTTACAGCAATTTTTATTTTTAATATAGGACCAAAACCAGTAAAAACACCACTTCATCAGAATTGCATACATAGGCGCACAGCATTAATTCAAACAACTCTTGATGGCGCTGCTCAAAATAATATTCAGTTCTACCTAAAAAAATTAAATCTGATTGGAAACGATTCACACAAGTATTTTCAAAAATGTTCGACTCTGAAAGAAAAAAACATAATCAAAGGGTTTTATGTAACTAAATTTGCAAGTATATTGCTAAACTGGCAATTTAGGATAAAAAACTTGACTTTTCGAAAGGAAATTATTTTTGTAAGCTATATTTTTTTTGTTCTTTTTTAAGACCACTGTTGTCAATTATGGATTTTTAATGACTTTTTAATTGTGTGTATAGTTTCATCATCAGCCCACCTACAAAAAAGACACTAATTTGATAACTGTTATATGTTGGGAACATTCTGTCCTACTTGCACAGCTACCGGCTATCCGTTTCTTTTATGGTCTTATATGCAAACTTAAAATGCAAATTAAACTTAAACTCCGATGCGGATACCTGTAAGTTCCTTTAAGGCATGTTCTAAACCTCTACCGCATATATCAAAAAGCATCGCACTTTTCGATTCAATTTTGTTTGAAGAAAATGACGAAATAGTTGTGCTCGAAATGGTTGTTTTCTCCGGATTAATTTCAATTTTTTACCGAGCAGTTTTTGATGGAAGCTTTTTATACCGTCTGAAAACCAATCTTTATGTCATGTGTGGTCATTTGAAGAACTATCGGAATTGAAATTGCCAATTTTATTAATTTTTTTTTTAACTTTATTAGTTTTTTTTTATAAAATTGAGTTTCCAAGAAAAAAAACTTTAAAGACGGCAATTTCGTTTTCCTAAATTTTGCTCAACGAAGCGTTTTTGAGTCGTATTTCCTCGCATGGTTCGTCTTCGGTATAATTTTAGCACATATTTGCAGAGGAACGGGTTTAAACAAAAAAATCTGCATAGATCTGGCAATTGATATCAGTGCCGTTCCATTAAAGTTTCTGTGAGAACACAGCAACGGTGCAGCAGACCCATCGCAAACCATTACGAAGCCAAATTAGGCGTTTTCTAATTTTTAAGATAGCCTTCAACAAGTCAAGATAAGATTTGTCACAGAGTCCGCAACTTCTCTTTAAATTTCTTTGTCGTTTTGGATTTCAAACACCAAAAGTTAACACACTGTACCAATTAAAATTGCTCCAAAAGCAGGCGAATTTGCGAAATACGCAACAATATTTGCGGACTCTAAAACAGTTTGAAAAATACACAAATAAGAATTAAAGTAGGTTTAATGTTGCCCTGTTTAAGGTTTAAAATTGCTCTGATGCGGAATCCTCTAATTGTAGGCTTCCTCAAATTGTAGGCGGAATCCGTAAAATGTAAATGGAGTCTGCATTTTGTTTGCGGTAGCATATATGGTAGCGTTATAAATAGAAGCTTTTGTTTATCAAGTGTCACCGGGTTTCGATCTCAATTCCTGTTTGATTCTTGCCAAGTCAGTTCCTGCCATCTCGCAGTTCCTACTAGCTCAAACGTTCGATCTCAATTCCTGCCAACTCCAAGGTTTGATAAAATGCTGTCAATTAATTCGCATTCATCAGTTCGTTTCCATTCCAACTCAATTCAATTTAAAAAAATACGGTACAATTTAGCCATCATCGCAAATGAGAAGAGATAAAGGATTGTAACAAGTCAGGAAAGTTCGAATCTTTTTGTGAATCCTCCCGGGTTGACCAAAACTTCTTATCATACAATTTCCATATATGAGAAACTTCTTGTCATACAATTTCATACAATTCCATACGTACAGAAAATTGTATGAAAACTCTATGATAAGCATTTTTCCATATATGAAAATTGTATGATGACAGAAGGGTCATTTTGTCCGTAGAGTTTGCTTTTTTCCAAGATAGAAATGGATGCATCAACAACTTGCAATTTTTCATTCATACAAAAATTCTACCTAGCAGCAAGGGTAGGAAAAGGTTGAAAAAAGATGATATTTCATTGATTTAGATGAAAAATGGCCTAGCTTAGGAACTGACACACTTAAGTCTTGATATAAATTGTTGATTTTAAATTCCCTGATGCAAGATTTTGTGCTTCACTGACAAATACTGTTTCACTGATAATAACTACAACGATTGGTGTACTACAAAACAAAAATTTTACCAACCCTTGATGGACTCTTAATCTGAGATGGTGTTATCGAAAAAATTGGTTTTGGTAAGTATTTGTGTACAATCCTATTTCGTTGAGGCCTTTTAGCTGATCAATTTTCTCATAAATTCCTGTTCAACCTGACTTGAAATGTTTCATCTCATCATATATAGTAAAAACTCTATTCTCAAGAAAAACCTGATTGCTGAAATCTTATATTCTGTGCCTTCTAGTTCTCCATTAACATTTATAGTGGGTTCCAAAACCCTTGTACTTCCGTCACCAGTCGCATCATTAGAGACATCATACGCATCGAAGACACCGGTTACCCCTTAGCGAGCACCCCTGCAACCAATCGCATCTCCAGGGATGCAAGTGACATATGGGCTTTCGAATAATTTTCTGCCATAGGTCCATTCAGGAGCCTCCTTGGTTCACATGCAGTCATCATTTCAGCATTACCAGCAATTTTCTAGCTACCTGAATTCGTATGTTTTGGCATCACCATAATAAACTTCTCCAATGCCAGTGCCGTTTCCTCATTATCGGAAAAATGAGCGAGAACTTCCCCTTTCCGATTACGAAGGGAGAACCCTGGAGAAAGCAGTGAGGAAAATCATGCCCCCCGAAGAGAGCACGGAATCACGAGTCGAGAGATCATTGCCCCACGAACAGACGGGCAGCCGCACGCAAAAACAATGTAGAGTCAGGCGAAACATTAAATTCAAAATTTTTCAAAAATCATGTTGAATCTTAATGTTAGAGAGCAACTATTCAAGCTTAAAAGTGTATGTACGCGAGTACTTTTGAACATTTTTGCAAACAAATTTAACTCTTCAGCAACCTGCTAAAGTTCCCGAGTCGAATATTCAAAAATTAGCGAGACTCTCAGAGAAGCAATGTTACGTCTCGAGAAAATTAATGACTGTGGCGATAAAAGAGCGACCTGTGGCGACCTTTGCCCACAAAACACAATTGATTTTGTTCAGACCCCTTTTCGCGTTTGTTTGCATTTACAGCGAGGCTGGAAAAACGATCGTGAAAATCACGGTGCATGCTGTTATCAAGGCATTTGTCCATATAGAATTCAGGAAAAATGGCGACGAAATTGTGGAGCTGAGCATAGAATCAACAGCAGGTAATTAATTTTTTTAATCCAAAACACTAATTTGATGAAAAAAGGTGATTAGAAAAAATATATATAAAAATTACTTTAAAATTGTAAATTAAGTAAAACTTATTCTTGCAAAGTCAACTAATAGCGTCGCCTAAAGAGTTTCAGACTTACTAGTACAAGGTATGATCAAGTACTATACGGAGGCCAAGCCTCATTTGAAAGGGACAGTTTTAAAACTTAGAAAAGAACCTTCCTGTACTGCTTGAAAATTTTCAACCAAAAAAAGCTCAAATTTATCTTCCAAAATCTAACCAGAGTCGCCAGCCGCTACTTTTAGATCTCCTTATTTTTGTCATCGGATAGTCTGTCTCTTCTTGCCCAGAATTGTTTATGTTTTCAAAAATTACGTCATAAAGTTATCTTGAAATTGTTTTTACTACAATAAGTTATTCTTCATCACTATTTACATCGTTGGCTATAATAGCTACTCGATTAACAATTTTTTCATTGAGTTTTGTCACATTCTCTGACATTTCCTTGATAAGTTCTCTGTCTTTTTTCTCGATTTTTAAACTTTTACAAACTGAGCGACGGTTTAAACTACTTCTGGCTTTGGCACGCAATTTGAACTGAAGAAAGCCAATCACTTCTTGCAATAGTTTGACTAATTGTTTCCCTACTTCTAACGTATCCATGAAGTAATACACTTCTCGTATCTGCGATATTTGACTGTTTTCCATTTTGTAGTAGAAATTGTTCTTCTGTTTTTCTATATTTTCGATCAAATTAGGTAAAATTGTGATGTTTAATGCCTGCACACTTTGAAAGATATCTTCTGTTTTGATGAGGGGAACTAAAATTAAAATTTGGGTAATGTCTCGTTGTATACGTTTGAGCATCTGAATGGGCTTGAGTCGCGGTTCTAATTGGTTTTTGAGTTCGTATCGCGGAATTGGGATTGGCAGATCGTATGTTGATATAATATCAGCTGAAATCAGAATATATCAAAGTAATCATAACAATCGTCAAAAATAAAAATAAATAAGAAAAAAACTCATCCAACACTTTATACATCCAACATTTTCAAATCAAAACATACAATATCACGTAAATAAGCAAAAAAATGACTGAAAAAATCCTGTGTCTTTTAACGCCACAGGTTAAAAGTGGAACCAGTTCTGGACTAGTATTTATAAACTAATTAATTTATAAAACTTTCCCTATAAAATATTACTAACTAACCAATCATATTCCATCAGAAACACTGACAATTATTTGTTAGTGCTGAACTTTTTGTAATTTCAGCACCAGAACAATTTTAATAAATCTTAGACTACAGTTGTTCTCCTTTTAGACAACCTCCAAGACTAACTCGCAAGTACCAGTATACACTAGATCTATTGAGACTAGGAGATGTAAGAGTAAGATTAAGATTGGCATTAGACTAAGAAGTTGCATAAATTTATCCGACCGAAAAAAAAAGCGTGACGAACAGACGGTGTACCTTATCTGAAATTACTCTAGGAGAAAGCTACTTCTGGCTTAAACTCATCTGGTGCGACCAGTTGCAAAGGAAAAAAGTTGCAAAATATTATTTAGGATTCACTGGTTCGACCCTTTAGGGGATTGGTGTGGTCTAATAATTTCTTCAAAAGAGCGCCCAAGAATCCCCCAATCCAAATGATGGAATAGCGCTTGACTAGACAATATTTTTGCTATCATTTCTAAATATTAGAAGAGCTCTGAATCATGGCGAGGTATTCTTGTCGCCTGGTAACAATTTCCGCTTTACGATTGTAGGTTCTATCTATTATAACATCAACAGAATAATGAACGAGTTGACTTATTCAAAAAATGGAAAAAATATTTACGGAACATTTGACCTCAAGAAAAAGTTTGCGGTCTCGAACAAAGCTTTAATAGTGTTTGATTTCAAAATATTCCCCATTACTTGAACCGAAATAGAATTTGCAAAAATCTCTTCTACATGAAGGCAGATCAAATTTGGAAAAAAAAATCCGAGATTCAGAACGAAAATCAAAATTCGTTTTTGTAAATCCTTACATTTTTTTTTTTTATCAGGTAATCAGAAGGTCAAAAGTATCATAGTAACCGAGGTTACAGTCATGAGTCCCTTCATCATGTATTCCAGTCAAAATCTTTGGAATTTTCTAGATATGGAAGTGATAATGATAAAAGAAGATGTTAAGTGTTTAAGTCCTTTTCATTTAAAATCGATACGGGTTACGCTTCTTCAATAAGAACACGCAACTCGACACGAGATAATATAATATACAACTGTTACAAGTAAAAAATTTCGTCGAAAGTTATTTTGTCATTTATTGTTCCGAGTACGCAAGCGGCGTTCGCAATCTGTATTGCCAGGGAGATTCTCTGTTTTAAAAAGCTGCCTGCTCTGGGTTCCTCAGTGCATATGCTTAGGTTCTTACAAAGCTTGCTCAAAAAAACTTCTGTGCTGGGGCCGGCCGCGCCCTGAATTTCAAAAGCTAGCGGTTGAAAAAGATATCCATCATTTACAAGATCTTTATATTTGTCAATTTTTCGCTCTTCCGCTTCAGCGGCAGCCGTACCAGGGTTACAAACAGACCCGGCATTAATCCTACAAGGAGCTAAGGAGTCTACTACCGTTACATCCCACAAGAGCTGCTTACCATCAGCCCATGGAACGAGCGTCAAACCGTCTGGTCGCTTCTGATCGGTCCTGTAGAGGTGTCGTGGTTCTAAAACAGACGGAATGTGAGTAGATGATAGACTCTGCTTTATAAGGGCATTCAGGTTTGAATGCCTAGAGAATCTCCCTGCACTTTTGAGGCAAGAAAGACCATGCCAACCATCCTCGGTAACGTCTTTTCCGCACACGCATTTATGCCGTTCGCATATTTTTGATCCTAATCGAAGTCCTATCGCAATTCTGAGTTGTTGGTTCGACAGTTTTAACCTTAAATTTTTGCAGGGGATGACGTTCAACCATTGGGATCCAAATCTATCTTGGAACGCGTTGAACCTTTTCACGTCCGTTGGTTCGAGTCGTAAAATCAAGTCTGCAATTTCGCTGTCAAAAATTGGCTCCGTCCAATTTTTTGGATTTCATTTTCCGGAGCCATTTCAATTTTTCCAAGATCAAACCACCGTTTAAGCGCATCATCATAGGTTCCATCCACATGCTCCAAACCAAAGATTTCGCTCAAGGCATCTTTCGCTCCTACTGCTGAGGCTAAGAAAGCGGGTAAAGCGGGTAGACGAGCGGAAGAAACGCCCAAGCCACCTTTGGCTGCCGGGAGAACTGCTTGTAAAAACTGGTTATCATCCATTTTCACGTTAGTGACCTTGCATAACGAATTTCTTAGTAATTTATCGTAGCGTTCCAAAAAATCATTTTGCAAAAAACAAGGGCTCGTACACAAAAAATATAGGAGTTTTGGCATGCTAAAGCAATTTTTCAGGAGGTAAAAACCATAATGGGCGTCTAGTTTGTCAATGACATCCGAGATTTTTTCAAGCTCCCTAATTTTTTCGTCGAGTAATTCTTTTCGGCAAAGTTCGCCGATTGGAGATCCTAAAATGAGGAGTTCTTCTTTTGTTTTTATTTTTATTTTGGGGCATATTTTTCGAAATTGTGTTAAAATTGAATTATACTGTGTACTAGTAGTCGGTCCCAAAAAACAAAGTTCACACTTCTCAGTGTTTAAGCTCAGGCCGTAAATTTGTTCCGATTTCAGAATGTTTTTAAGGTCCCGGAGTACTACCTTATAGTCGTCGGCTAAATTCCCATCATCTAAATACCAGATGTTAATTTTCGACTCCAACTGTTTGACTAGTGTATGAATTGTTTCCGCAAAAAGGGGTGGGGCTTCAGGATCACCTTGCTGAGTTCCGTCTTCTGACATTATGACAGAGCTTCCGTAAAAAAGGTAACTAGGTTTAGCATACGCGCAATGGGTGTAATTATATAATTCGGGGCGATTTGAAAAAACATGATTCAGCATTGTTTCTCTGTTTAAAGAGTTAAAGGCATTCTTAAAATCTAGTTTTAAAAGAACAGTACATTTTGGATTGTCGTCGCGTTCAATTAGGTTTCGAAACGAGTGCGCAGCTATTTCTGCTCCTCGTTTGGTAGCGCATCCTACCTGTACGTTTCCGAAAAAATTTTGTCGCTCGGAGAGGGCCTTGCTTCCAGCGCATTTAGACGCGATACGTCTCAGCGTGTTGCCTATGGCAATCGGTCTCAACCCTCCGTCTATTTTTATGAGGGCGATAAGCTTTGCGCCAAAAAAGAAAGGTCTTAGTGGTTCCGGTATTTTGCCATCTCCAATGAGGTTTATCAGCTTAGTAAGCGATTTCAGAAAATTAAGTCCTGCACTGCCATTCGACTTACTAACAAGATCTCTAAAAATTTGAGGAAATATTTTATCAGGACCTGCTGCTGATCCGTTTGGAAAGGACATTATCGCTTTGTATAGGTCGAAATCGGTGACGAAAAAACTATCCAACTTTTCTGGATTTGGAGCTGCAAATTTGGCTCGCTGCGGGTGCTTAGATAACAATTTTTGATAGTTATCAGTTGAAAAAGGAGCTATTTTGTCATCCGAAGCAGCAAGCCTTATTCCTCCCTTTACATTTCCTTCATCGAGCTTACTACTTATTAACTTTATTCTCTGCTCGAGGTCACTCAGAGGCGGGCTTGAAACTTGGGGATGGGGTTTTGGAAGTGACACGTCATTTGCTCGAATTTTTTTATTTATCAAAGAGCTCATGCTTGTGGTCTGTTTGCGTCCACTTCTTTTCGGTTGCTCCAAAAAAAACAAGAACGACGTTAAAAAAAATTTGCCATTTTGTAACATCTTCTACATTGTAGACGATGTCATTTATTTTGTCCGACAGATTTTCCGCCAAGGGAACACGCGAGTCTTTTGGTACTCTCTTGAGTACTCGGACATTTGAGATGGCTGTATTAACATAATTGTCTAGCACTAAATCATTACCTATTGTTGCTTTATTAACAGATTTTACATCAACGCATAAAGGACACTGAAACCATTGGGTTTTCTTAGAGTCGCTAAGAGAAATTTTTACACAACTGATATGATACCAACTAGAACAACAATCACATTTAATCCAATTTATCAGTCCTGAAGGTTTTAAGCAATCTTTGCTTGTACACTCTTTGTTGTTTTTCCTCATCTTGACGCAGCATAAAGGTAAAAAAAAAGGATTTTGACTGGACTTTAGGGGACTGAACTAACCCATGATAAGCGGTTAGTGGGAATTTTACAAATCAGCAAATAAAAAAAAGACAACTAAATTAATTTAAAAGGTTAAAAGGCAGCATAAAGGTTAAAAATCAAAAACAAGGAACAATCTCACCCGAGCTCAGTAGGTTCAGCGGCGCACCACCAGACTTCTCAAGCCAGTTCCAGTTCCCCACCTCCCCACAGAAAGCCACTTGACAGACCTGTCTCCAAAATCCCTCAGAGGGCGCTCCACATACAGGCACAAACATCAAACATAACAAATCTATTCAATAAGTTTATCACAACAATTAGGGGCTTTAAATCTCCGATCGACCTTTTTTCCCTCTCGGGTCGGTCCTCCTGTGGCAGCCTCCGGATCGAAACAAAACATGTAAGGATTATGTTTTAATGCAAAATCCTTAAAACATAATTTTTAAGGATTTTGCATTAATCCTAAAAAAATTAATGCAAAATCCTTACATTAGTTTTGCATGTAATTTTTTAAATTATGTTTACAAAAAAGAAAACTGTGGCGCACTTCATAAATTTGATATACTATAAGTTTTAAATATGGCAGAAAATTTTTTTTAGGATAGCTAAAGGTAATCTTAAGATTATGTAGAAGTATTTCTAACCTCCGTATAGAGTTAAGCTCTATAACAAAGCGATTGAGAAAGATATTGCTTTTGAATTCTATGACACACGTTCGCCACTGGCGATACGCAATGCCAACATT